CGAAATTTTTGAGGGTTCTAATTTTCGCGGTTTGTTCCACAATCCGCCCCCCAAAAAATTCCCGCAAGATATTTTCTCCGAAAAAATTTAATCCACCGGTGAAATTATCCATACAAACCTGACATGTAGAGTCTTGTTCACTCATTTAAAACGTCTCTTTCGTTCAGAGACAAATTAAACGATGAAATAAGAATAAAATGTTCACAATTGCCCTTGGTATATTACAGGTGTAGCTGTTAAAAAGTTAACAGAAAGGATAGTCTGATAGCATTATCAGCTACACTGGGGCAAGACGTAATTATAATAGTGACCGATTGCGATTTAGTGTAATAAAACAAAACTCGAGAATGCTGTATCTCAAATTAAACGTGACTTCCTAAAATTCGTAAAAAGTGGTATCCAGCCCGCAAACCCAATCGTACACAATCATAAAAACTAATTCCCGCAAACTACAAAAAAATCGCCCATCCGGGAAATTAAACTCCCACAAAAATTTGGTGCCACACGGTAAACTGAGGCGATCTAAAAAGTGATTATATTTATCATTTTAATGAAATTAATGTTGGAATATGGAGGAGCGTGCAAGACAAGAGTGTATCGTGACTAATTTTGAATTCAAACTAACATTATTCTTTGAGGCGCTGAATGAATCACTCCTGGAGTGTTCTCAACTTAATAACTTTGATTAATTTTCTTGTGTTTAGATAGCGACTTTGCGATGGAAACGAGAATTTTGCCTTTCAATGTGCGTGAGTCAGTTGTAATGCGCAAAAAGTTTTTAATCACGTTCGACCAAATGCTTGTTTGAAGTTCAAATATATTACGGGACATTTCAAGTCGCTTCGGCTCTAGTATTTTCAAAAGTTCCGAGTAGACTGCTGGCAGTCTGTTTTTCTCACGAAGTCTGGCAGGGGGTCTGAAGCGACACCTGTTAGCCTAAAAGGGATTGGGACGAAACACGAGCACAGCACTCGTCTCGCCGCAAGCCCTTTTCGTCCATACCGCTCCTTTGGGTTCGCTTTCGCGGATGAACACTCGTCGGACCCTAACAGAAAAGACCGACTGTCACCAGTCTACTCCGAGTTGTTTTTAGAACCAAATTATTTTATCTTGTGAGGTACGGAATGATTACTTCAGAATTCAGTAAAGTTTACGACGTATGGNGTTTGCCATTGAACAGAAAACATTAGATGTATAATGCACAATTATAATCACACTCTTGTAGAGTGTATACCTTCAAAAACACCAGGAATTAATAATTTATAAAAAGTTGCATATTTCAGTAAACTTATTTAGAAGAAAGACTGTACAAAACAATTAGAATTAGAATTACTATTATCCTCTGGAAGAAATGGAAGTTGCAGACTGTAGCTTTTCTCTTCAAAATCCCCAGTCATCTTCACCAGAGAAAACAAGAAAATATGCCAGTATAGTAAAGAAGATGAAGACGTTTCCAGAAGACACCAAGGCAAAGGCTCCCCATTTTATCTGAGGAATATAAGGAAAAAAAATTAGAAAAGGGGCTTCACTAAATGGTAGACCTTTTAGAAAATGTGTTTGAGTGATGAAATTAAAACTATTTAACAGCAGTTGACATATACTTTGAATGGTGGTACTGTTTATTACGCTTTATAATTACATGGTGGTTCATTTTTTAACAAGGTATGAGACACCACTGTCTGACCATTCAAATGATAGTGACTGAGTGGCGCTGTCATGTAGTACTAACTGTTACACTGTACAAAGTCATTCCAACTTTAAAGTCTGTGGATGAAACCCCAGTGTGTAACCATTCAAATAAAAGCTATTGAGCAGTCCTTTCATGTGGTACTGTTTAGTATACTGTACAAGGTGATTCTAACTTTTACATCTGTGGATGAAATAGTAGTGTGTGACCCTTTACAGTGCAGCACTTTCTTATTATGTAAATACTCTGAAAGTGATTCTGGAAAGTGAGTTGTTTTCACTTTTATTGGGTTGTAATTGTCCCTTGACACTCTAAGGATTGACAACTGATAATTCTATGATATAACTGTACACAATTTTCAGCTTTAGATTCTCATGTTATTATTGCTTCATATTGATGTCATGAAAAAAGCACCAAAAAGATTACTAATTTATACATTTTCTCTATCCTAATCCAAAAAAAAAAGTATGGGATTACAATTTATTGTACTTACAATTTCAGTATGTGCAAGAACCAATGGAAGACCTAAAAGAAATTATAGTTTATATATTATTGCAGTATAATATTATAATGATAGTATTTTGAAAATCATCTGAGGTATAGTTTGCACCCCACTCCCATCTCCCATCAAACGTTTCCAGATGGATCCATCCCCCCAAGTGCTAATTGTCAAATTTCATGCTCAGCTAGTGGACCTCAACTCGTGCATGTAGAACGTACAGCGTACATGTACATCAGACTGTATAACTTCATGACCATGCAAGTTAATTTGACCATGTATTCACTGAGCAAATCATGGCAAAATCCAAACTACAAGAGGTTAAATGCAAAGTTATACAATTGTCATTTGATAGTTAGCAACTTGACATATAATAACTCACCAAATGCTGAGATCACAATTCCAGCAGTGAAAAACATTGCAGTCTCTTTCATGACACTACGATGAAAAAAGAGAATGTTGTTAGCAAAAAAAAAAAAACAAATTTTACTGTGTGATAACAAACGAAATACCAATACTTACGCCCTTTTCATAAAGTTCTAGTCAAGAAAGCATTCATCATTCATCAAGGGCCACCCCTTGGCAGGTTGGAGCAAGGAGATGGTTGACTCTTCAAACTACATTTGCCAGCCAATTTACAACGTCTTTCCAGTTACTTCACAATAAAGTCCTAAAAATTCTTAAATAGATATATTTTTGAGAGCTGCTGTTTTTGATTAAATTAAATACTTCAGCTTCTAAATTACTATACAATCAGGACAGTGGAATCCTGCTAATCTGGTCATCANAAAAAGTATGGGATTACAATTTATTGTACTTACAATTTCAGTATGTGCAAGAACCAATGGAAGACCTAAAGGAAAAATAGTTTATATATTATTGCAGTGTAATATTATAATGATAGTATTTTGAAAATGGTCTGAGGTTTAGTTTGCACCCCACTCCCACCTCCCATCAAACTTTTCCAAATGGATCCATTCCCCCAAGTGCTAATTGTCAAATTTTATGCTCAGCTGGTGGACCTCAACTCGTGCATGTAGAATGTACAGCGTACATGTATATCAGACTCTATAACTTCATAAACATGCAAGTTAATTTGACTATGTATTCACTGAGCAAATCATGGCAAAGTCCAAACTGCAAGAGGTTAAATGCAAAGTTATACAATTGTCATTTGATAGTTAGCAACTTGACATAAAATAACTCACCAAATGCTGAGATCACAATTCCAGCAGTGAGAAACATTGCAGTCTCCTTCATGACACTACGATGAAAAAAGAGAATGTTGTTAGCAAAACAAAAAACAAAAACTGTGTGATAACAAACGAAATACCAATACTTACACCCTTTTCATAAAGTTCTAGTCAAGAAAGCATTCATCATTCACCAAGGGCCACCCCTTGGCAGGTTGGAGCAAGGAGATGGCTGACTCTTCAAACTACATTTGCCAGCCAATTTACAACATCTTTCCAGTTACTTCACAATAACGTCCTAAAAATTCTTAAATAGATATATTTTTGAGAGCTGCTGTTTTTGATTAAATTAAATACTTCAGCTTCTAAATTACTATACAATCAGGACAGTGGAATCCTGCTAATCTGGTCATCACTGGGCTGCAAAAAATCTGGCTGTATTAATGGGGTGGCCGTATTAAAGGGTTTTTTTCAAATAAGAAAATGACTGACTGAGCTTTTGTTCAGGCCAGAATAGAGTGGCCATAATAACGAGGTAGCCCTGCTAATGGGGTGGCCATATGGTGGGGTTCTACTGCGTGTTGTTTGATACTTACTTTGAACCATTGGAAGAAAAGTCTTCACTAAACCGTTTGGCTATAATAGTGGGTACTGGGGCTAAAGCATAAAAGAACACTGAAAAAAAAAAAAAAAAAAGCAGCATTTTAATGAGGTAATGTCATCATGTAATGTACAGCCAAATCTACATGGTGAAGAAATATGGATGACACAACTTGCTGCAGAACAATGTTGCATTGCAATGTTGAGGGTGCGCATATAAATTAAGGGGCTTATAACTAGACTTCTACAGTATACAGTGTACCGTCGTGGCCTCATCCATACACAGACACTGTGTTAGTTACCCTGCAGTAGTTTTTTAGGTTGAAGAAGGGATTTAACCTTCTCACTGGAGGTTTAACTGTAACATGCAAGTACAGTCATAGTTCAAAGTCATCCAGAGTCAAAAGAGGCCTAATAATAATAATAATACGATTGTGACTTGTTGATAACAACTATTTATCACCAATAAAATATCACCAATTTATCATGTAGGAATTCCAATAAGCATTCAGGCAAAATTCTTAAATGGAGGTTTTAATATAATGGGCCAAAAAATGGGATGACTGTAGTGAACAAAGTGAAACAACAACAATTCTAGTTACTCAAATTAAAGAGTGCACTTACATACAAACATAGGCCACCATATTCTATAATAAAAACAGATAAACAAAAATCAGTGCAAATACCAAACTGTTCTCTTTAGAAAAGTTCAACAGAAAAGTCCAATACTTTGGCATTACAATAATTATTATAACATAAGCTCCTGTGTCAAG